GGACTAGAAAGCAATAGATTTCTTGCTTCTTCCACAGATTCCCCCAGCTGTGAGCCTTCCAACCTTCTAAATATTCCTTCATATGTGGTTCAGAGTTCTGGGACCAGCCCCTGAGCCTGCTTGGTTGGGTATTCTGTGCTGTTGTTGGCGGAGCTCCTTTACTGCACTTCCACCTGATCTGCCATCTTGTTTGTTCTCCCCAGCAGCAGTTTTAAGGGATAAAGATGAGATTGTCTGCTTCTGTAAATATTTGCAGTCTCATCTCAGAAACCATAAAGAACAGTTCAACTCTGTCCTTTATAGATAGTGTCACCATATTTTGGGATTGACTCATTGACAGTAGATTCTTGGTTTTGTCCTACCTGAGTTGCTCTTCTTCCTCCACTATCAGACTGGTTTCTGTAAAGTTTTCACTGGACAGTTTTTTTCAGGAGATCTCTAAGTTTTTCTTCCCAGTTTGTCTTAGTTTGGAAGCTCCACTGAAATATGTCCACTATGGGTGATTCTGCTGGTATTTGAAATAGCTTTTAGCATTTCAACAACACACAAGCTACATGGTATAGCAAGCTGTTAAATCTTTACCTGACTGACAGTTTTGTCTCATAGAAGACAGAGAACGATTATGAATCTTAAGTTTGGTCTGTAAGGAATCATTGACTGGAGAAAGTAGCAAATGGAATTTTTCTGGAAAAAATAATGAGCACCCTTATAATTTATTATAGCAAGAATAAACAATTCTAGGTATTGCATCAGGAAAAGAGATTTCAAAATATAAATGCTTTTCTGTCCTTTGCAATTTCAAAATTAAATCTCAAGCAGATAGTAGCTTGAGAGATTGTTATTAAACAAAATTCTGGCATACTGCAAGTGATTACTGTAAGGAAAATTTCCAGGCGATGCTGTTGTTGGTTTGGGAATCACACCTGTGAACAGCTGGCATATGCATTAGCTTTATGACTCTGGTAACACTTAACAATTTTTTTTTGTGTGTGTGTGGAGCAGGGAGTTGGCTAGTGTACTTCATTGTTAGTACATGACAAGACTGGGCTCTGTTAGCCCCTCCCCTTCTTCAGGGTGTCTGGATGAAAATTGAAGATGGGCATGTCTCAGTGTGTTGGGGTAAGGAGTCCCAGTAACAGAGGACCTGTCTCTTTCTCTAGTGCTGTTGCTGTAGCTGGTGGTCCAGGGGGCTCATATTCCTTGGAGACCATGTGGACCATAAGATCCACCACCCTGTTGCTGTAGCCAAAATCATTGTCATACCAGGAAGTGAGCTTGACAAAGTGGTCATTGAGGGCAATATCAGCCCCAGCATCAAAGCTAGAAAAGTGGGTGCCACTGTTCAAGTCACAGGAGATGGCCTCGTCTTCAGTGTAACCTAGGATGCCTTTTAGGGGTACATCTGAAGGCATGTTCACAACCTTCTTGATGTCATCATATTTGACATCTTTCTCCAAACAGCAGGTCAGATCCATGACAGATACATTGAGAGTGAGGACATGGAAGGCCATTTCAGTGAGTTTCCCATTTAGTTCAGGGATGACCTTGCCCACTACCTTGGTAGCACCGGTAGATTCAGGGATGATGTCCTGTGACCCCATGGCCATCATGCCCCAATTTCCCAAAGGGGGCATCCACAGTCTTCTGGGTGGCAGTGATGACATGAACTGTGGTCATGAGTCCCTCCATGATGCCAAAGTTGTCATAGATGACCTTGGCCAGAGGGGCCAAATAGTTGGTGGTTCAGGAAGCATTGCTGACAATCTTGAGGGAGTTGTCATACTTCTTGTGGTTCATGCCCATCACAAACATGGGGGCATCAGCAGAAGGAGCAGAGATGATTACCATTTTGGTACCACCCTTCAAGTGAGCTCCAGCCTTCTCCAAGATTGTGAAGACACCGGTGGACTTTACAACATATTCAGCACCAGCATCACCCCACTTGATGTTGGCAGGATCTCACTCCTGGAAGATAAGACATGGGCTTCCCACTGATGACAAGCTTCCTGTTCTCAGCCTTGATAGTACCATTGAACTTGCCATGGGTGGAATCATACTGGAACATGTAAACCATGTAGTTTAGGTCAGTGAATGGCAACAATCTCCACTTTGCCAGAGGTAACAGCAGCCCTGGTGACTAGGTGTCCAATAAGGCCAAATTTGTTGACTCCAACCTTCACCATCCTGTCTCAGGAATGCAGTTGGGACTGCAAGAGAAGCTGCAGCTCCCTGTCAAACAGGGAGGAGCAGAGAGCCTTAACTGTTTTGTGGCTGTTATTTAACTAGTAAATCTGTAACAAAACTGACAATAATGTAAAAATTATAAAATACTTTTTAACATTTCTGTTTTAGGAAGAACAGATGTTCTGGGGATGGCATAACGATGTCCATGTATTTGACACAAAGACACAGACTTGGTTACAACCAGAAATTAAAGTAAGTATTATAAAGTTACTTTATTTTCATTGGTACTCTTAAGAACCCATTTTTTGAGTAATGTATTTGGAATACTACTAGTTGAATTTGTAACAACTTAGCTCTCTTGAATTACTGTCATTAATTCTGTTTTTCAAGAGAGCATTTTTTTTTCCAGGTGAGTTAGAGTTTTCTAGGATAGATTTTTTTAAAGTGATGCCATCATTCTTTACCCAAAATTGTGATTCATTCTCAATGGAGAAGTTTATAAAATCCTTTTATAACAGTCATGTTTTTTTTAAAAGCCCATGCTTCATAAACCCTTGATATCAAAACTTCTTGTGATGAGGTGTCATTGAGTTAGTTCCAACTCATTGGGACCATATGAACAACAAAACAAAACACTGCCTGGTCTAGCACCATCCACCATTTTTGTGTTTGAACCCATTGTTGCTGCCACTGTGTCAGTCCATTGTGTTGGGGTCTTCCACTTTACCATTGATCCTCCAGTTTATTAAGCTTGATGTTCTTCTGCATGGACTTGTCCTTCCTGATGACACGTCCAGTCTTTTTCCATCAGACTTCCCTAATGCAGTACATCTTTTGATTTCTGACTGCTGCTTCCATGAGTGCAGATTGTGGATTAAAGTAAAATGTAACTTTTGGCAACTTCAATATTTTCCATTATCATGATGTTTTGTATTGGTCCATTTGTGAGAATTTTTGTTTGTTGCAGTTCAATGCATACTAAAGGCTGCATTCTTTGATTTTCATCAATAAATATATGAGTTCTCTTTAATTCCCCCAAGCAAGGTTTGCATCATTTATATATTTCAGGTTGTAGATGAGTCTTCTTCTAATCCTGATGCCACATTCTTCTTCATATAATCCAGTTTCTTGGATTGTTTGTTTCACATATAGATTGATTAAGTATGGTGAAAGGCTCTATCCCTGGTACATACTTTCCCTGATTTTAAACCATTCAACATGTTGTGTTTGAAAGATTTATTCCTGGTCTATATACAACACAGTGATATGTTCTGGATTTTCTATTCTTCTCAATGTTATCCATAATTTGTCATGATCCACAATGTCTAATGCTTTTGCATAGTCAATAAAACACAAATGAACACCTTTCTGGTATTCTCTGCTTTCAGCCACGATCCATCTGATGGCAGCAGTATCTCTTGTTCTACGTCCTCTTTTGAATCTGATTTGAATTTCTGGCAGATCCTTTTTGATGTACTGTAGCAACTCTTTTTTAATTATCTTAGCAAAAGTTTATTTGCATGTGATAGCGTAGTGGTTACGAATTGGGCTGCGAACCATAAGGTCAGCAGTTCGAAACTACCAGCGGTTCTGCAGGAGAAAGATGAGGCGTTCTGCTCCCGTAAAGATTAACAACCTCGGAAACCCTGTGCAGGGTCGCTGTGAGTCGGAACCGACTCCACGGCACATAACAACAACAACAAAATTGTTGCAGTGTGGATGAATGAGATGATGCGTCCTGGTTCAGTCCTACTGTTACTCCTAGAATTGGCAGGGCTTAGGCACAATATGCATACAAAAGGATCCAGAAAGAGGGTTTAAGCAAGATTTATTAAGCATAGATTTTCCGTGCATTATATTATAAAATAGACACTGGAGGGGGAGAGAAAGGAATAGCCAGAAATATCACCATAGAAAGCTTGTAAGTCCGTCTTCTGCCTATAACTGATTGGAATACCTAAAGTGGGGTTACAGCGTGCCCAATGAAGGAGGTTTCCTGAGGAGTATCTGCATTACATAAGACTATAGGTGGAATCCTGAACCACATCCAGATCTTCAGAGATGGGAAATTTTCACTTGAAAGAACGAGCAGACCAGTCTGGAGCAGCTGAAAAAACAGAAGATACTTCTTGAAAGAAAGACCTACAGGAAAAATACAAAACAAAAAAGCAGTCTGACTGTTACTACAAGTAAAAGCAAGTTACTTGCCCAAGAGACATAAAAGCAAGCGGTCAGGTCCCCTCAGTGCAAGTCCTCTTCCAAGACTAAGACTCAATGGGAATACATGCTCTGATTGGCGACCACGCACGTCACCCATAAGGGGAAGTGAGGGAAAAACAGCAATGAAGTGGCGAACTAAGCCCTACAATGTTCAGTAGACTCCTGTGAACCCAGGTGGAGACCTGGTCGGCCAGCAGTGTGGCAAGACCTGGGAACTCATGGGCTCAGAGTCAGTGACAGCCACAGAGGACTAGAGTGGAGAGTGAAACGTCCAGCTGATAAGAAGAGAGCGGATAGACGCAAGAACACCCACACTTACAGATGCTACCCACTTGACCTGGCTTCAATGACTGGATGATCAGAGCTCAACCCGAAGAAGAAAGAAGAGGAAAAAAGCATCATCTGATACAATTTGATGAACTTGACCTACACCTATGGATCAGTAGTTCAAAAGAGGAAACAAATCCTTACAGCAAGAATCATTTCCACCCTCTCCACACAAAGAGTAGACAGGGATGGGCAACTTGGACATTGGCTACCCAAAATGGGGGCGAGGGGCTCTATCTTAGCAGTATTGAGGGATTTCTCTATCTTAGCAGTATTGAGGGATTTGCCTTCCAGCTCGCTGGTTCTGGCTTCCCTCTCTTCAATTCTACTCCTTTGCCCTTTCAGTGTATTGTCCATTTCTGATATTTTATTATTAATCATCTGGACCTCTTTTAGCAGGTTTTGAAATGTTTCCAATGCTATATCTATCTTGTTTGATTGCTTGTGTGGCACTTTCCTGACTTCTTCTTTATTTTTTTCCACCTCTCTGTGAAACATTTGGATTTGTCTTCTATTATTCTTCTGAATTCCTTCTCAGGCAAATCCAAAGCCTGCTCTTCTTCTAATGTGAAGTCTATGTCTGCTGCCAGCTCGTTTGTCTCAGTTACTCTTTTCTGTTTTTGGATATATGATGCTATCTTTTGTTGTATTTTCTTGGACATTTTCAATAGTTAGATGTGTTTTCAATGGTTAAATGGATGTATGTTGCTGTATTGTGAAGGTTACTGAGTGTTTCCTGGTGGATGTGATCTGGAAATAAGCTTCCCTTTTCATGTCTCTTATTATTCAACTGCTAACTATCTTAGCAAATGTTGGCTATCTATGTAATGCATAACAGCTGGTATTGGCTCCTGTCCACTTGGTGGGATATTATGGTTTATGCTTGTATCTTGGGTATATGGCCATGATTGCTGTCTCTTCTTGGGTAATGTAGGGAAAGAAAGCTCCCACCCCGAAGCAAAAGTGAGACCAAAAGGACCAAAACCAGAAACAATATAAAAGCAGAGAAAAAAAACTAGCACACAAAAACAAAACCGTAGCAGACTGTCCAGTAGCCTTTGCTGTGTAGGTCAGTGTGCATACACAGTAGAAACCTCCAGCGGTAGGTAGGGGTGTCCACTCACTCAGGCCCCCCTCTAGTCACCACTGTGGAGGTGCACAGATAGATACTGAGAAATGAATGGAAGAATGATTGTTCACAATTTTTATCACGGAATGTCAGGTATCTGCGTATGCACAGCATAATTCTCAAAATGACTGTGTCCTTGTATATAGTAGTTGGTCTTAGCTCTTGCCTTTTATGTTGGGGTTAAAAGGGGCAAATACGGTTTGGCAGTATGGTCAGACCTGCTGTCTCTTGTTAGGGAAGGCAGGAATAAAGGCTTCTGTCCAAGTAGAAGAGTCAACTTTAGGGCTAAATCCCAGAATCAGATGTCATAAGAAACAGCCGAAGGATTAGCTTGTGGAACTGCTGGGGCTTTCAGGGATTTCCTTTTTGTGCTGTGGGAAACTTGTACCCTGTGGGTGCAATGCTGGACCCTTTTGGGGATGTGCTCCCACCTACCTGAAGATGCCTGGCCTGGGCAGAGAGGATGCAACAGGGTTGAGGAGGAAAGTAAAGTTAAAAAAGTCATCACACCTCTTTTTCCACAAGTTGCTCCGTGGCTTTCACGCTGTATCAGACTGGCTGTGACTCCACCCTCTGATCTCCACCCAGGCTGTGGACCACAGGGAACTTCCCAAGTTATTTAAAAATCACCGTTTATTCCCACCACAGTCAGATTTCTCCACCGATGGATGCCAAAAACTGATGCCCACCACTTTATATTAGATCTAAAGCTCTAGAACTGTCCAGGCAAAGTGCCTTCTCTGTTGTTTTTTTTTTTTTTGCACCTCTGCTGCCTGTCTCCGCTTCTCCTCAAGTATAGTGATTTTTGGAAAGCCCATATGGTCTGGCCTGAATCTTCACCCAACTATTTTACTATTAAAGAGGCATTTGGATGTTTAAATGACTTTTACAATACCTTATATAATGGACCATCTGCTATATCTAAATATGAGAATGCCCAAATTCTATTATTCTTAACCTTGGCAGAGAAACTATAATCTTCCTTCCAAATACAACAAGGAGGAGGAACTTCCCCAATGACTGGAATTACCAGGATCTAAACCAGAGTGCTTAGAAAGTGGGATGGTAAAAACATTCAACAGCTTGTTAGATTCCCTGTTTATCATAGGAATTCTGTCAGTAGCAACAACTATACAGGATTAAGAGGAGAGTGAACCACTAAAGGTTTTTAAGACCAAATAAGTGACTCCTGTTCTACTAAAAATTTAACAAACTTGCAGACCATGCTCATTATGACCCAGGGCTCCTCATGAGAGATCTTGATGATGCGTGCAGGATCTGTTACTGTCTCCAGGCCCCATCAGTTCTCAGGTTGTGCAGTGGCCAAGAGGGTCTTGGGACTTAATTGGTGCTTCCTGGGGAACGCTGGACAGTCACCTGTACAAAGCCCAGACTTACTTACCGCATCAAGAACATGGTGTTTTAGGGGCTGTTCATTTTTATATCAGGGTATGGTACACCTGGTGATGGTGTTTATGCTTTCCACAACAGAAGAAATTATTATCCATCTTCTTGCCAGGTCGGAGGAGGTAGTTCAATTCTGAGCCATTAAAGCTGCTGCAAGAAACTTAACCTT